TTCATGCTCATTTTTGTGGTAGAAGAGGACGCGACCACGACTGGGGCAGATCCGGGTCCAGACGATTTCTTCATGCTCATTTTTGTGGTAGAAGACGGGGCGAAAGCAGTAGCAGATCCAGCCGGTACTTTTTTCATACTAGTTTGGTTCACGGCCATTTTCGCGGTGGAAGACGAAGAGGAGGACGAGGACGAACCAGCTGCAGCGGCTTTCTTCATTTTTGCAGTAGTTTTTTTCATTACCTTATGTTCCTTGATGGTGTTCTTCTTCAAAAAATATGCATGTGCAAAGACATCGCCCAGCGCTCACAACTAGCACGCATTGCACGGACTATTCAGAAAACCAAATGGAAAATCTGTCATGCAGAGTATCTCTTGCAATGAGTGCGAGCGGCGCGTCACGACTGTTGCGGCGGATATCACCGAACTCCTCCCCGCAGCGACATTCGTTTTGTTTCCAGTTTTCGCACTGCTAGCTGGACCCGAGCTGCCAGTGCTTGCCTTGGCTGCGTTTTTGCTACCTGGTTTCGGTTTGGGTTTGCCAGATCCAGAACCCTTCGCGGAGCCAGACTCGTTACCTTGAGATTATTGTTTCATGATCAGGATTGGTGGGATGTTATTACAAACGAACCAACTCACGCGGATGTCGCCAGTAAGTACTACGTCGTGATCTTGCACTTGCGTCGCAATTTCTTCAAGTGCTACTGCCATTGATTCAGATTTCTACTGGTAGTTGTGAAAAGCGAAGTCTATAATATTGGAAAGTCTGTTTGAATGGAGATAGATCAAGTACATGGACCTGAATCAGAATAGTAAATGCCAACGCACTTTTTATATGGCTTGAGTCAAGATTTTTGTTTTTGTTCAGATTTGGGCTTTTACCTTTCGCTCCGGTATTGTTGTTTCCACCTTTCGCGCCGGACTTGGTACTGCCACCTTTCTATCAAATGCAAACACGTCTGGGTCTGGAAACTTGTTACGCAAGTGAATAACTCCCCCTCCCCCTCAAAATATTAAGTTTTGAATATTTATTTGGTTACCAAATAATGCACTTTTATGTCACCAAATATATACATTTTCGCGTCATCAAATCTTGCACATTTCGACTCCAAATGCGCAGCGTTTGCGTTGCTTTTTGTGCGACCAAAAGCGTCCTCGCACAGGTTTGCAGTCTGTCGTCAACATGTTGCGAAAGCTAATCAAGACGCTATAGGCTCACTCCCCCTCACCAAAGCTGCCCACTCCCCCTCATGAGGGGGAGTGACCCTATAACATCGTGATTACCCATCAAAATGTAATATTTTTTGTGGCTTTTTTGCGGCTCGCAGATTCGAGCTCAAAAAGTCGCTGATTTGAATGACAAAAAGTGGCTGATTTGAATGAAAAAGTGAGTACCTTTTTAATTTTTTTCTAGGAGCTAGACTGCACGCTATGGGCACGATTTGCCGGGCCCAAAACACTGCTAGTTTCGCTAATCACGATGCTATGGGCTCACTCCCCCTCACCAAAGCTGTCCACTTTCCCTCATGAGGGGGAGTGAGCCCATAGCATCGTGATTAGCTATCAAAATGTAATATTTTTGGGGCTCATTTCTGAGGTCGCTAAAAAGTAGCGGATTTGACAACAAAAAACCTCGCGACTTGGCGAGCATTTGCCAGAAGTCTGGCAACTTATCAACTTACACGTCAGCCTGCCGGGCCCGGGCAAGCTACCCGGTGTAATGTCAGCATAAAAGTGCTTTAATTTCTTGGCCGAAGTGATGACTTTGATCCCACAGAGCCGGCCCCAAACCCCACAAAGGGCACACCGAAAACACCGCGCGGCTTGGCCAGGACCAAGGCAGGGGGGCCAGGCCGCCCCGGTCCTATGGGTTTCGATGAAATCAAGCTGGAAGGGGGCCGGGATGGGGGTGGTCGGGTGAGCCATTGGCCCCTGTCCACCTCGCCCCCAAAAAATGCGGGGCCAACAAAGCCCCACGAGGAAAAACCGGCCGAGGGCAAAAACACGACAACCCCAGTCCCACCCCCAGCAGAAACACCAAAGCGACACGGACGCGCCGGCCACATCCGGCGCAACACCGGACGAATGCCGGCTGCTTCCACACCTGCGGAGCCCGGGTCTTGCTTGCCGAAATAATCACGCCAAACACCCCCCCGCGGCGCGGAGGCGACACCCCCCCCTGGACTCACCTTGCCCTGTTGTTTTGCTTTAAAAGCGGCGTAATTTGTGGTTTAAATTAAGTTTAATTTTTGTTTAGTATTTGCATGAAAATTTGCTTTAATTTGTTACACACTGAAATCCCTAAGGATTTCAATGAAAACAAATTAAAGCACATTTTATTGCATTTTTAATGCAACAATTATTGCAGAGGTTATTGCGAAGGTTACTGCTGGGTTTAATATTGCAAACCCCACAGTCCTTCGCAACAACCGCCACTCCCTGTCGACCAACAAACGACGACGCCCCTCCGAAAAGACCCCGACTGGGGGACGGCGCCAATGCCGGTGGGGACGAAACCTGTCGAAACGCCAAGGCCGCCAGCGCGCGGGCGTCGCCCCTTCCCAAACGCGGCGAGGCCACATAGACTGGCCGAAGACCCCACCGGCCCAGCTGCCATCCAGGTGGAGCCCGGCGAAAGCAGCCCGGGAGCTGGAAAGAGAAAAGGCACGCGGCGCGCGTGCGCTTGAGAGGCGGGCAAAAACTCAAACAAAACACCCCGGGGCCGTGGAGGCACAAAAACACCAAAGCCGAAGGGGCCCGGCCCGTCCTTCCTCGGCGCCACGCGCCACGTATGGGAAGGAAACAAAACGGGGCCCCTTGCAAGGCGGACCACGTAGCCGATGAAACACACCCCGCCCAAGCTTTTAGATTAATGCTTTTTCATGCCGATTTCAATGGCCGAAATTTGCCCGGGCCCGGCTGCCTGATACACGCAGAAGAAAGCCCGGCCCTTTCTTTTAGTTGATGCCGTTTCCTTGTTCACTCATAACGCAGAAGTCATCTGGTCCCGATTTCTGCGCCAGATGTGTGGAGATCACAGGCCTCGACTCGACCGGTCAAAGGCACGAAGACGCTCCCGATTCGCGACCTTTAGCGACACGTTTGCTGCCACAAAATGCAGTATAATCGCTGCGCATTTGGAGTCGAAATGTGCAAGATTTGACGACACGAAAGTGTATTATTTGGTGACATAAAAGTGCATTATTTGGTAACCAAATAAATATTCAAATATTAAATATTTTGAGGGGGAGGGGGAGTTGTTCACTTGTGTACTTGTGATGCTGGTTGCAGAAAGACGAGCACGGCTCCATTACCTGTGTCTGGGTCAGGAAGGATGCAGCTTGCCGTGCGAAGTCTCGATCACATGTATGTTGCATGCACCCCAATGAAAGCTGCCCCCTTTCTGCTAGGCAAAAGGCGAACTTTCACACGAGATAGGCATCACTGAGGTCTCGCGAAATCTATAGTACTTCCAGACCATGTGTGTAGGTTGCGGGATGCATGACAAACCTGCAACTCTTCCAGCCCCAGATATATTGATTTGCAATGCGTAGAAGTTTTTTGCCGCCACCTTTCGTTGGACTGTCAGGCCGTAGGGAAACCCGTCCATCACCTGGAAAATGCCTTTCAATACTAAAATTGCTGGAGGAGAATAGAAGTTGGATAGATGCACCGACAAAACCCGTTGCAAAGATCATTGGAAACCTTCGCAGTACAGATGTCTTGCGAGCATGCACAAAACAAGGCTAGGTAACTCTGGAAAGAGCTCACACACTGCAATTTAGCATTGGCGCCCTTTTTCATTATGATACAGGTTGAGTTTAGACCGGGCCTCGTCATCTGGCGTTTCGCCTAGTCGCAAAACGCCATTATAATGTACTCCTGCGAAAATTCATTTTTGTTTTTTGGTGGGCATGTTTAGGGCCATCTGGGAGCGCGTTCAGTTGCGCATAACACACCGTTGCTGATCCTTAAACGAAGACAAGAACCTACGCATGACAGACCGACGCACTAGGCATCCTGTTGAAACTTCATCTTCAAGAGCAAGCGAGACCACCACGCATGAACAAATAAACATTAAACAAAGCACAGTATGAACTGCAAAAGTATCTTGCGGTGCCGACTCGTATAAGTAAATGCATCACAAGTTTCCTCAGCATAAGAAATGAAATTTGTTGTAATGAGGATTTACCTTAGCAAAATGATGTGTAATGCATGACTGCAACACATGTACGATACTTTTGCACGGGATGCGCAGGCACGTATTGAAATAGACACTTACCATAACAGCAGAGGTTAATCCCGTAGAGTGGTTTTCCGTTCAGGTCGTACTTATTTTCCTCTGTCGGTCTGGTGACCTATCGCACACGAAATGTGCTTCACTGTGGTAATTTTGCATGACAGAATCGCTTGGTCTTCACATGACAGAGAAAATTTGCATTCGTGGCGGGGGCGTCTCCTGGTGTAGAGAACATATTAGACAAAAAGAACGACTAGGAGCAAGATCTTCGTCGCCGCGCATAAAATATTTGATTTTTTCTACAGATTGTAGAAAAAATCGAAAACAGGTAGAAAAAATCAAAAAGAGAAAAAAAGAGAAAACAGAAGAGAAAAGACATCAAGAGAAAATCAAACGAGAAAACACAGAGACGACGACTTTTCTTACAAAAAGCAAACGCCTCGCTTTGATTTTTTCTACAGCTGTAGAAAAAATCAAA